TCGGCGGCAGGTGGTTGCTGCTCTCGCTGCTCGAGATGTACGGCTGTGTCGAGATCGCGCCCGCCTGCACGAACGGATTCGTTTTGGAGAGGGGCATCTCGATCCTGCTTGCCGCCGCCGACAGGGCCAAGCTAGTCATTGGTGCCCATTTGTTTCGCGTTTGTCCTATCTGTCCTCGTCGAGGTTCGCCACCGAGAACGCGCGAGCGTATCGTCCAGTCGACGAATCCACGTGGCGCGCGATCAGCGTCCCTCCGTGTGTCCTGACACGCGCGTGATCCTCGCGCTCACGTTGGACGCGAAGGACAGTCCGGATGTTACGGGAGACATGCTTCTTCGTTAAGACGACGACGACTTGGAGGCGAGGATCCAGGATGACTGCGCGCCGCGGACGAATTAAATTTCGGACAAATCGAAGCGAAATCGAGGAGAAGCCCTTCCCGGAAAAGAATAATTCCACTAATTGTATTATCTCCAGGGACCGTGGAAAAACGACGGCCCCCGTAAATGCAGCGGACTAGAAGGGGTAGATGCACTCGCGCGCTCGGCGACGAGTTGCATAAATCACGCTGTTTCTTCGAGACGAGCAAGATGTCTCGGTCGACCTTCTTTCTTCTTTCAGGTGGTCGGTCGGTCGGTGATCCCGGGCTTGACGCGAACTCACAAATTCCGGGGCACTCGCGCACAGCGGGAGAAACTACGGAACCGCACTCTCGCGACGCGCACTGTCACACCCGTGAAGCCTCCGGCGAGACTCTCGGCCGTCGAGTATCGTCGCAATCGTCGCAATCGTCGCAAACCGGCACCGCAGAAGGCGATCGCGACGTCGCCTCGAACGTCTTCTAATTTTACGATCTGTCGCGCGCGACGAAGGCGAGCGCATCATCGCCGCGCGTGGAAGCGGGGCTTAACCAAAAGTCTCCCGACTCTGCTCGCTCGCTCGTGCTCTCCGTGCGGAAGGTTATTGGCACCGGGCCGCCGCCGCGAGTTTGACGACTTCGCCGTCGAGGCCGCGGTCGCTGTCGCCGCGTCGCCGCCACCGCTGCTGCTGCTGCTGCTGTCGTTGCCGCCGATGTCCCATTCTTTCACCCGTCGGCGGACGAAAATACTCCCCCCGGCGGACCCCTTCACCCGGTCCCGATTCTCCGCCGATTCTCGCCGCCGATCGATTCCACCTCGCGGCGAGACGCGATTCCCGCCTCCCGATGGCCATACAAAGAACCGCCCCTCTCTCTCTCTCTCTCTCCTTCTTGCTATCTCTCTTTCTCGTTCTCTCGTTCGACGAAACACGTATCCGCGATATCGTATCCTTCAAGAGGATAACCCTCTGCCTCGAGACTACCCACGTAAACACAGACACACCGCGTGATCGCTGAAATCTCTCACCGAACACACTTGCTCGCACTCGCGACGCGAAAGCCGGTGATTGTCTACAATACAATCCTTTCTTCTCTTCCTTCTTGTGTGTTATCTTTTTTTTTTTCTTTACTATAACGAATATCCGAATGTGACCGCTCTCTTCCTCGTTTCGTTAAAAATCTTCTCTTTTCAAACACTTTCTCGTACTTTCTCATACACTCTTTCACATTTCTCTCTTCCTCTCTTCCCGTTTCGGAGAACGCGCGCGCTTTTCCGAATCCAGTTACCGGCCACGAGTCACGCGGGCCACCGTCGGCGACGACATAACACCATGCGCGTCGTCGGTCGATTAGAGATGTCGCGGTCCGGCGCGACCGGGACGAGAACGAGTCCTCGACGTGTTGACGACGGCGCGTATAAAAATCGACCCAGGCGTCTCGACGGTTGCGTGGTACGTCGTCGTCGTCGAGCCGTCGGTGTCGATCCGACGTCGCGATTGAATCAGTCGGGACCGTCGGGACGATGCTCTCTGCCGTGGATCCGCTGTGAATTTCTCTCTCTCCCTCTCTCTCCCTCGTGAATCTCTCTGTTCCTCTCGGACGAAGCGCGGACAAAGGGAGCGCCGGTCGAATTCGTCGCTTCTGGCGCACTCGGCACTGACTGGCTATCTCGTCGCTGCCGCTTCCTTTCGCAGCTCACTCTCTCGTCACAACTCACACCGCGCGGCTCCCTTCCTCCTCCACCCTCCGTCTAGCCGACCGTCTGTCTCGCTCGATCCCGTCGCCCTCTCGCACCGCCACCAAACGTCTCCTCCTCTTGTTTTTTTTTTTTTTTTTTTCCCCCTCCTCTAACCCCTTCGAGCGCGACGTCGCTCGGTGTCGGTCCCGCAGAGAGACCGCGACGATGACCACCGTCGCACCACCGACCAACCAACCGCGGGGTTGATATCACGCACGCACACTCGCGGCGAAAACGCGCGACGGTCCCCCGTGTTAATACCCCAACGGAACTTACGGAACGGGCCGGGGGATGAGGGAACGGGGAAAGATCACACGGCGTGGACGGATCTTTACGGTGACGCGCGGCAGCGCGACGCGTACGTCGCCGTCGCTGCTTCCGGCGACTCCCCCATGGCGCTCCAGCTCCTCTGGAGTTTACAAAGCGGGTGCATATATACACGAGTACACGAGACGGACAGCAATGTCGGGACTGGTCGGGACGCGACTGTCCGCACTCCGCACCGCACGCACAGGTGTTCGCGAGCGGGGCAGAGGGGGGACGTCCCCCCTTCCCACCTCACTTTCTTTCTTTCTCTCTCTTTCTCTCTATCTCTATCTCTCCCCCTCTCTCTGTCACTCTGACTTTTCGACGGACCCTCGCGGGCCGATCGACACGCGACGCACCGCGATACGAGTCTCTCCCGCGGATTCTGTTCCGTAATTCCGTTTTCACTCGGCCGCTCGTCTCGAATCCGAGGCTCGAGCCCGTCCTGCTGCGCGCGTGCCGGTCGGAAAAACGCCTCTCCTCTCTTTTTCTCTCCCTCCCCTACCTCTCTCTCTTCCGTCCGTCCCGCACGTCCACCGCTCGACAGCTCGACAAGACAACACGCCGCGGAGCGTGTCGCTTCACGTAGACGGTCCTACGCAGCGGCCGTCGCGCGACTCGTACGATACTCCGACCGTACTGTCGGTTTATACCGAGCGACGGCTCGCGGATTCCTTCCGAGGCGAATTCCCGACGGGGGGAACGACGACGACGAGTTTACGGCGACACCGTCGACCGGCTCGCCGCGACGTCACGGAAGCATCTCGTCGACGGCGAGGCGAATGAGGCGAATCCCTGCGTGCGCACTTTCGTGCTCCATGACAGCGTTCCGTTCACGTTGATTTCGCCGGACTCCGGAGACGATACGGGCAGATTTGCCCGCTGTCGCCGAGGTCAGGAAGCGCCGTCCGTCCGCCAGGGAGCGGCACTTGCCGGGCCGAGATCCGTCAGATCCATCTGCTCTGCGTCACCGATTATTAATAGTTATAGCGTACACCGAGATAAATTTACTACATTTTAGTGCATACAAATTTTTTTCAATATTGCTTGATATTTATTAGTAAATAAATATTTACTCGATAAAAACAAATGATTGTTAAATCAAATTATAATGGTTCTTGTACCAAATGAATATAATGTTTACATTTAGTAAATATTTGATTACCCATGTAAAAGAGAATTAATTAAAATGGATTGAAATTTTTATTCAATTTAAAACCATTTGTGCTTTAACAGCATTCTATTTTTACTTTTTTAAATATTTAATTGGATTGAAAAATTGCATTTCCTATTCAAAATTTTGAATTAAGCAGTATTCACGATACACTTAGAAAAATGAGTTTTTTTTTTAAGATTAAAAGGCATGAAATGTGCTTCATGCAATTCCTATAAATGAGTAAAAATGTATTGGGATTGAAAGGAATTTATTTCAATGTTTGCAAATGTGCATTTATGAAAATCCGAATCCATTTCAATCTATTTCAATCTATTCTCTATAATAATACTATTCAAACATTCAAAATATTTATTAAAATTTAATATATTTTTTCAGTGTACGAAAATATTGCCGAATAAAAACAACTTCGTAAATAATAGGTATATGGAATGTATATTAAGTTTCGATATATATGTATATATAAAACTTTATTAAGTATAATATATAACTTTTTTACACAAATTTATCGCAAAGTAGTAATTAATTACTTTTTTTTTGTATATTAAAAGCATTGTTATCCAGCGCTTTTAAAAATCAAAATTAATTTTCGGTATTAAATTGCTCAATATTTTAAATTCCAGAAAGAAAAGTGTTCAGTTATATATTTCTAAGGTTCTTTATATACTTCTTTATATAGTATTATAAGAAAATTATCTGCGAGCTTGTGCACACACATCACGAAACTTTCTTTCCCAAACAGCACAGAATATTTATAATAAATATTTATTAATATTCATTTTTTGAAATGTTATATGGATATTTCATACATATTTTATATAAAACTTTATTCGAAATATTATTAAAATATAGACTAAATATTTTACGTAATATTTATGATAAATATAAATAAATATTTCTAATAAGTATTTTTTACTTGGATTATAATGTCTCATTAAGTATTTTCACAGCATTTACTATGACATTTATAATAAATATTTCATAATATTTATAATAAATGTTTATGATC